CTGGTACCGGTAGTGTTCTACAACCTGAAATGATTCACCAAATGGTACTTTCTGCTCTTTCAGCCTTGGGAATTCAGGGTAAGTCTTCTAATATTTCTCAATCATGGTTTCTTGATTCTGGTGCATCCAATCACATGACGGGTTCCTCTAAATACTTACAAAATGTACATTCCTATAATGGTAATCAGCAAATTCAAATTGCTGATGGTAATAAACTTTCTATCACTGATGTTGGTGACATAGACTCAAACTTTCGTGACGTGCTTGTATCACCCGGACTTGCTTCCAACTTATTGCCGGTTGGTCAATTGGTGGATAACAATTGTAATGTTAGTTTTTCTCGTGTTGGTTGTCTTGTGCAGGAGCAGGTGTCGGGAAAGGTGATCGCGAAGGGGCCTAAAGTGGGAAGATTGTTTCCACTCCAGTTTAGTTCTAGTCATTTATCATTTGCATGTAATACTGTTTTGAACTCTTATGAGGATTGGCATAGAAAATTAGGCCATCCAAATTCTGTTGTTTTGTCTCATTTATTTAAAACTGGTTTGTTGGGAAATAAACATGCGTGTACTACTCCTATTTCATGTTCTGTTTGCAAATTGGCTAAAAGTAAAATCCTCCCTTTTTCGTCAGGCGCTCATCGTGCTTCTACTTGTTTTGAGATGATTCATAGTGATGTGTGGGGAATGTCTCCTGCAACATCTCATGCTCACTATAAATATTTTGTCACATTTATTGATGATTACAGCCGCTTTACTTGGATATATTTTCTTAGATCTAAGTCTGAAGTGTTTTCTATGTTTCAGAAGTTTTTGACATATGTTGAAAATCAATTTCAAGCAAGTGTTAAAATTTTTCGATCTGACTCGGGAGGTGAGTATATGTCTCATGCATTTCAGGAATACCTTCAACAAAAAGGGATCTTGTCTCAACGGTCTTGTCCCAATACCCCTCAACAAAACGGGATGGCAGAGCGAAAGAATCGTCATTTGCTTGATGTAACACGCACATTACTTCTTCAAGCTTCTGTGCCATCCCGATTTTGGGTTGAGGCTCTTTCCACAGCTGTATTCTTGATTAATCGTCTTCCTTCTACGGTTATTGATTTTGATTCTCCCTTCTTTCGCCTTTTTAAAATTCAGCCTAGTTATAATGATTTACATATTTTTGGATGTGTTTGTTTTGTGCACTTACCTCCATTTGAAAGACATAAGCTTGGAGCACAGTCTGTTCAATGTGCGTTTATGGGGTATAGTCACTCACATAAGGGATTTGTGTGTTATGATGTCACTAACCATCGTTTTCGCATTTCTAGGAATGTGACATTTTTTGATAATCAGTTTATGTTTCCATGCGTTTCTCCTGTCATGAATGATATTGTTACTCTTCCTAAGTTCACTATTATGCCTCAATCTATAGAGCGTTATAAACCAGGTCATGTATATGTCAGAAAACACAAACAGCAGGTTCCCACACCCCTTCCCGACGCTGAACCGCCACCTGATCCTGTAACGGTTGAACCACGACGTTCTGTTCGAATATCTCGAGCACCAGACAGATATTCACCAGACAGGTATGATTCAGCACATACTTCTCTGACTGCCACCCTCTCTGGCATATCTATTCCTACTTGTTATTCACAGGCTGTTAAAGATGTACGTTGGATAAAAGCAATGAATGAGGAACTTCAAGCTCTTCAAGAGAATTTCACATGGGATATTGTCTCTTGTCCTCCAGATGTCAAACCCATTGGCTGCAAATGGGTGTATTCTGTGAAATTGAATTCGGATGGGTCCCTCAACCGTTTCAAGGCTCGCTTGGTTGCCTTAGGAAACAAGCAGGAATATGGAATTGATTATGATGAGACATTTGCACCGGTTGCTAAAATGACATCCGTTCGTACGGTACTCTTTATAGCTGCTTCTAACGGGTGGGCTCTTTATCAATTAGATGTGAAAAATGCTTTTCTTCATGGTGACCTCGCGGAAGACATTTATATGACTCCTCCTCAAGGTTTATTTTCATCATCTAAGGGTGTGTGCAAGCTTAAACGCTCCTTATACGGTTTGAAACAAGCACCTAGAGCATGGTATGAAAAATTCCGCTCCACTCTACTTGGGTTCTCCTTTACTCAGAGTCAGTATGATTCTTCTCTATTTATTCATAGAACGTCTACTGGAATTGTCCTACTTCTTCTGTATGTTGATGATATGATTATTACTGGTTCTGATCATGCTTCCATTCAAAGCCTTAAACAACAGTTACAAGCAGCGTTTCATATGAAAGATCTTGGTAAATTGCATTATTTTCTTGGTCTTGAGGTTCATTCTACATCCAAGGGCATATTCCTCCATCAACATAAGTATGCCACAGATTTAATTTCCATGGCTGGTCTCCAATCGGCTAATCCAGTGGATACTCCGCTTGAGGTTAATGTTAAATATCATCGTGATGATGGTGATCTGTTGCCTGATCCCTTATTGTATCGTCAACTCGTGGGTAGCCTTAATTACTTGACTATTACTCGCCCTGACATATCGTTTGCTGTTCAACAAGTAAGTCAATTCATGCACTCTCCTCGCCACCTTCACTTGGCAGCAGTTCGTCGTATAATTCGTTACTTGAAGGGAAGCTCTCATCGTGGTTTATTCTTTCCTAGTGGAGTTGCTCCTAAATTGAGTGCTTATAGTGATGCAGATTGGGCAGGGTGTCCTGATACTCGACGATCTGTCACTGGTTGGTGCATGTTTCTTGGCTCTTCATTGATCTCATGGAAAAGTAAGAAACAAGCGAGAGTCTCTAAATCTTCTACTGAATCTGAGTATCGTGCCATGTCTGCTGCTTGTTCTGAAATAATTTGGCTTCGTGATCTTTTGACTGAACTTGGATTTCCTCAAATAGAGCCAACTTCGCTTTATGCTGACAATACAAGTGCCATCCAAATTGTTGTGAATCCTGTTTTTCATGAACGCACAAAACATATTGAAGTTGTCTGTCACTCAATTCGTGATGCTTATGATGACCGAATCATATCACTTCCTCATGTCAGTACTCAGTTGCAGATTGCAGATATTCTTACCAAGGTTGTTCCGCGTCCACGTCATCAGTTTCTTGTTAGCAAATTGATGCTTATTGACAAGCAGCATCAATTTGAGGGGGGATGTGAATAAGGGTTTGTTCCTAGAATAAGGGTTTGTTTCTAGAATAAAGGAAACAAATTAGAAATTGACTTGTTCTCATTAAAATGTAATTATTTAGTGTAATTACCAATATAGCCCTGTAACCTCTATATATACGAGAAATAATAATGAGAAAAGCATTAAGCCAAGAATTCTTGACATAGAGTGAAAAATTAGTTGAGTTGCTTCAAGCTGACGTGGCTTAATAGGTCCCACAAAGAACCCAAAAATGAGTTCATAGTTGGAGATGCTCTTAAATGTCCTAGTGATTCTCTTTTTACTCTAGAAACATAATCTCTTAATTAGGATGTTCCTACTTTACCCTTAATTTTCTCTCTAATCTCTACCTTGCCCTCAATATCTCTACAAATTCTATTTTCTTTTTATTCTATTTATTTTATTTAAATAATATAACCAAATCATTATTTTAATTAATAAAATAATTTTAATTATTCTCCACACCCTACCAAAAGGTCATACACTCTCGCTTCACCCACATTTATTTAATTGTCCACAAATAATAATTAAATAAATACACAAAATATAATTAAATTAAAATGAAATAATTTACTAAAAATAGGGTGTTACCCCTTTGAGTTTGCTTCTAATAGAACCGTCCGCAAACATCTTGATGATATACTGACGAATTACGAGAGTCATCTGGTAGCAGAGGAGTATCGGAGTATGTCAACCACAAGTCGGCGGACTTATGTGGACGGTTACATGACTTGGTTCTATAGTGCGCACACTCTGTAATGACACCAGACGCTCTTAGACATTCACCAAGGCATGCTTACGAGGAAATCCTAGAGAATAACCAAGGCAGGGATGAACATGTCATTGATGTGTTGCCGATATGTCTAAATATTATGTGAATTACATATGAGAGCATAAAGTCTGGACTGTTTGAAAGAGATGGTGATGATGTGATTACCCTAGCGCATTTCATTCTTATCGAAGCACATAATGCCATGAGTTACCGACGGCAGAGGAGAAGCCAGGAGGTTAGGATTAAGCATGCGTGGTAGGTTATGCTTTTATTTGTATTTCAGGATGTTTTAGTGTTATTTTCCAAACTTTGATAACAATATTTGTAATATTATGAGATATTTTTTAATTAATGCATTACCTTGTTTTATAATATTCATGTTTATTCATGTTTAATTCAAATTATAGCACTATTAGTCTAATTAAAATGATTTTGAATTTTTAGAAAATGCAAATTTAAGACAATATTTATGTCCAAGATGCATGTAAATTTTTGAGAATGCATATTTAAAATGGGCGTTTTTAAATATGCATCTTCGAATTCGCCCATGAAATATATGCATCTATATTTCTGAACTAACTTTTGACAAAAATAAGATAAATGTCTGATTTACTAAAGATGGGAATATTTAAAATGCATCCAAAGATTTTAAGTTTCCAAAGGTGCAGGAAAAGAAATCTCCTCTTTTTATATAAATTAAAATTTCATCAGAAAAAAAAAAACAGAAAACTAGGAGGACATTCAAACCCCAAAAAAATAGAGATAAAAATAAAATAAAATATATTTTTCTATTAAACTTTTGAGACAGTTGTTTAATAAGTCACTATTAATATTAAATTTTAAGAATCAACATATTACATTATACTAAAGACCATGCACACCAAATTTCAGAAAACACGATATTCATCATAGCTATGTAACTTTACAGTATTTTTTTATTTTTTTTATAATTTCAGAAAACACGTTATTCATCATAGCTATGTAATTTTACAGTATTTTTTAATTTTTATATATATTTGAAATCGTCAGAGAGTTCATCCTATTAGACTATTCCTTTAAATGTTATCATCCTCTGAAATGGCTTCTGTGCTCTCAGAATCATCAGTATAAGCAGGACACTGAGAAACAAACTCACAGAAACCACATTTCCATTCCTCTTCCTCATCAACATAACTAGCTTCTCTTTGTCCTGTCCAAAACTCAACACAACTTCTAATTTCATTCTTTATCCAACCATCATCATACATAAATTCTTCTTCTTCCAATACTGACTGATCCCTCTGAGATTCATATCTCAACACAAGCTTATCGTTAGCCGGGGACAACATGTTACACATATTTTGGTAACACGACACCAAATCAGAAAGTCTTGATGCTGAGATTTCAGATTCAATGCACGCTGTTTGTAGATCTTTGCATAAGAAACGTCGAGGATTTAACTCGAAATAATCGAATAGTTGTTTAGAAGGGAAATCATGATCTGCATGAGCAACTAAATTGTCCCACAAATACTTGTAACACATTAGTTGAATCCTTCCATTTCTTTTTTGTGATTCTGAAGGAACTGTATCTCGGTGACGGGTCTTTATTTCGACTATTACCGGATTATGATCATTTTTTGCATTAGACATTCGAATTTCATCGATCTTTCCAACAATCCATATACCTTGTGCAAAATCAAAGCTTATTATAGGAAGCTCACGAGTGAGTCCTTCGAACAACAGTTGATTCACACCATTGATGAAATTAACAAGCTTCAGTGCCATAATATCTTCGCATGACTTCACATTTACTTCCACAGATTCTAGAACTTCTTGTTCAAGCTGAACGTGTCGATCTATACCAGCTCTCATTGCTTTACTCTTCCTACTTCCTCCTCCATAAACAGAGGCCAAATCTGGTTTGGCTTCATAGTTCTTCCATTCTTCAGAAAAGAGAGAAAATTCCATTTGCTTTTCGCACCATTCTGTCCTGGTGATATCAGTGACAAACAGTCCCCTCTTGCTCCTAAACCGATGCAGTAACGTGTCATCTTCTCTAGACTTCTTCCTACTAGTACTTACAAAACTGCCAATATCTTCAATATCGGATTCGGAACACGCGAATGGCCCTTTTTTGGCTTCAACTGTAACTGATTGAATAGATGTGCTATTTCTGTGAATCCGGAGTGCTGATGCTGGTGAATGTATAGCAGGAGTGACAGCAGAAGGAGTGGCTGAAGAACATGCTGCAGGAGTTAACGCAGCATCAATGAAAGCCATCTCATCATCGCTTATGATCTCAACCGGAATTTTGGAGGATGTTCCTGCCATGACGGTACCTGATTCAGTTAGTTTTAGAATCGGGGTTGGAGTGTAGTATTACTTGCACACCAGGTCATATAAAGGGAAGTAAGAATTGGAAATCTTAACCAGCAAGAAAGGAAAGTTATTAGAAGAAAAGAATCTTAGCACAGGGACTAGGTTTCAAAGAAAGCAGACATATACAAAAGAGAAAGCATAATAAAAGATAGAAAAATAAAGCAAGTTTTGTGGTGGACACTTTAGTCGGGGCCACATTCGTTATTAGCATATTAGAGATACTAACAGGAACGACAAGACGCGCTTCACATTTAGAGATTTTTGTTGAACACTTCCCCACCAACCCAAGCATTTTCTTGCTTCTAGCTTGAATTTCATTACTTCTAGGGTAATTAGAAACAATCTTGAAGCTAAATGTCTTTCGTCTTTTACTCTTTTTCTCCAGAAAAGTATCAGCTTTCATAAAATGCTTTTTACTGCAAGAAAAATAATACAGTAAAGAAAACCGCAACTAGTTGCAACCAGTCACTAGATGAGATGAAGAATGGCCCATAAACACCCTCAATGTTAAGCTATCTATTAAACCATGTATTTCACAAATTCAATGCAAATAAAAATCATACCCTTAAAAGCATGTTTGAGTAAAAAAATGCTAGTAACCGTAGACAAGTTAAAAACACATGGATAACAAACTTGAAAGGAATGAAAAGAACATACCTTAGCCTTAAATGGCACCCTGTAACAGGTAAATTCCTAACATCAGTATATATACCGGCTAACTTGTGATCAAGCAAATTGATGATATAATCAACTACACTCCCTTGAAAGCTCGTTTTGCAACTTGGGACAGAAAATCCATAACGATCGAGCCATATCATTGTGAACTAACAAGTTTTACCATTAAGTGTATATTTTTTCGCATGAGGAATCAGGAACATATTACATTCCATTTTCCATAAAACCCACAACAACGTGAAATCAATTTCCTATTCAATTTAACATGGGTTTAGAGTAAAAATACATTGATCCTTAGGGGTAAAGAACTTTTGAAGGAATTGAGAACAATCTTGAACTCAAATGAAATGATTTCACGCACTAGCAAGGCTCCATCAGTGAGCTGGTTTTGCAGCTTAATTCTTAATGAATCAATTAAAAATCTCCTGGGCAAACATTTCTTAAAAATTAGAACTGAACATCCCCTACCACCTAACTCATAACAAACAATGGCAGTATACAGAAACAACAAACATTACAGTTCAAAATGTCACTGATTCAATATTTGAAGGCATTCATTAAAACATGAAAATTTTCTAAGTAGCGGTAACAAGGACTAGAAAGTGAACAAAATGTTGATCATGCAAAGAAAAACTCCCCCATGTTACACTAGTGGAGTATGCTTTCGTCATTCAGTATCAATTATACAAAAAAAATTCTATCAAGCCATAGTTTTCACAGCTGGAAAAGGTATTGGCATGAGAAATAAGATGCAACACAACAGATATGAAATGGCACCCCTATCTAATCCTAGAATCTGAAAAAAAATATAGTTTGGATATTATGATCAGCATGAGGGTATCATGTATTTACACTTCATACATACATAGAAGGTACTCATATACTGAAGGGTGCATAAAAGTTCAGGTGGTCACATACAAATAGCCCTTACTAGATAAGACCTACTTGCAAAGAATTACTAAAACAAAGACAGGACCAGCTATAAAATTATATATAGCTTGGCCTGAGTCATCAATTTTATTACTTTGTGGTTGGCACTTCAGCCTTTTCAAATGAGTAATATTCCAGTTTCATAAGTTCTATGATGAAATATTTTGCTTCATCTACCTATTACAAATAACAGGAAAGCATGCATTGTCTCTACTGAGGAAATATCATCCAAATGCCAACCAACTTGCCTCCTATTGATGTTTTTTGATAAAGTAATAAGGAATCAATTATTGCATAATTTTTCATGTGTTTTTCTGATAAAGGAATAGAACTACGGCTAGTTACTAACACAATTGGTCTATTGACAGATGCGCATGTGGTTAAGCTTAGAAAGTAGTAGCATCTTAGTTTTACATCTTCCTATGAGATACTCTGAAAAAAAGAAGAATGAAGAACAATCATTCTCCTTATTTGAGCTGAACCATATATGTATATGGTAAGAGTTGGAGCGTATTTTTGATAAAGGTTTAAATAAATGTAAGTAGAGATGATAGAGGTTTAAATAAGTGTACGTAGAGAACATGAAATATAAGACACGACAATTAATCAATCCTTTTGAAATCCACCAGTGTTGTCGACGCCGGATAGCCAAAATCCTGCCATATTATATCAGTCATTTTGTGGCGCCGTTATAGCAGAGATTATAGCAGAAAAACAAGCAATATTTACCATTGCAGCAAGCCCAAAAACTGCAAGTATATGCACAATAGCGCCGCTGTGGCAGATATTTGATAACACTAAATCAGCTAAATGGATAGTTGTCATCTTCAATAGAGTGACCCCTAAAACTATCTGATTGCAAACATAAGAAACAAAAGACAAAAAAAATATAAAATATGAAAGTCAGAAAGAGCTTCCAATATTTGCAAACTCTGTTGACAGAAGTATCTCCACTCAGGTTGCAGATGGACTTCAAATACTAACTGGGTTGTCATATGTTCAATCAGCATTGAAGCTTATGTAAATGACAAAAATGATTTCTGAATTGACAACAGTTTTGATGATAGCAAATAAAGGAAGAAAAAAAAAAGAGCAAAACTTGAATTAGATAAGTTCAATATGATAAACACCATCAATTCAACAAGAAACTGTGTTGAGAACTAATTCAGTGCACCACACAAAAGAGCACTTATTTAAGCTTACAATAAGTCTACATTCCCTTTCTTCTTGCTCAAATTAAGGAAAATACAAAACTAAAACTAAACTAGCAGAGAATTAAGACACTTACTTCAACAATTCAATCCAACAAGGATCATATGAAAGTACCCTACCCCAACAATAAAAACAAACTCTTCTAATCGATTCACTAAATAAATACTTAGGCACTACACCAGATAAAATATTAGAAACCCATTTCAAATTTCCAAACCCTAGACCAATAATTAAACCTAAAACATTATTCTCCTAAATCCCAATTCTGAATTCTCAACTACTTATTCTTCACAGTTAACCCAAGTTCACCTGCAACAATAACAGTAGTAGCCATATCCAAAAACATTCCATGCTCCACAACACCAGCAATATTCAGAATGGCATCACTTGCAACCTTCAAATCACCAATACTCTTCTCAAAATACAAATCCACAATATAGTTCCCATTATCAGTAACATAAGGTTCTTTCTTCTCACCAAAAATTCTCAACTTCGCAACACAACCAGATTCATCAAACAGACTCTGAAGCCTACCAGCAGTATATTGCCAACAAAACCTAATAACCTCAACCGGCATAGCTAAACCGCTCCCACCCAAGTAGTTAACCAATTTTGACTCATCCACAATGCAAACAAATTTCTTACAAGCACCTTCCACCATTTTCTCTCTCAAAAGTGATCCACCGCGTCCTTTCACCAAATTCAGATAAGGATCAACTTCATCAGCACCGTCGATAGCAAGATCAACAACCGGATGAGTATCAAGATCTGATAAAGGAATCCCTAGCGACAGAGCTTGCTCGTGAGTAATCGTTGAAGTCGGTATGCCAATGATGTTCGTGAGCTTCCCTTGCTGGAGAAGCTCGCCGATACGGTTGACAGCATGTTTGGCAGTTGAGCCGGTTCCGAGGCCGAGAACCATGCCGGATTCGACGTATTCAACGGCTTTGTAGGCGGCGATTTTCTTCAAATCGTCTTGGGTGAGGATTACGGAGACGGAGGAAGAGGGGGAGGACGGTACGAGAAGGCCAGCTTCCATGGCGGCTTTCTCGGAGGAGATGAAATGCGGGAAGGGAATAGCCATTTTAGATCGTCGGCGGTGGTGGTTGTGGTGGCGGTGAGGGTTAACTGTGTTGAAGGGATTGAAATTAATTGAAGGAAAGGGTTTAATTCAATAATGGGAATTGAATTAGGTTTTTAGATTATGATTATAAGCTAGAATTGTTCGGGTAAGGTTTTAAGGGTGTGGTGGTGAAGGAATGAAAATGAGGGTTTTGTGATTAGGACAAAAGGATGAGAATTGGTTGGCTGCGGAAGGAGGGAAAATAGATTATTTATAAAGGAAAAAAAGTGGAGGAATAAATGAGAAAAAGAAAAGCGATTCAAACACTGCGTTTTGGTTTGAAGCAAAATTGACGCGTTTCGCGCGGTATCAGATTCTCTATTTTCACTTTTCAGTGATAATCTACTACCACACGCCACGGAATTTTTTATTTTAAAATTAAAAAAAATGAAAGAAATGGAAGTAATAATGAATAAAGCTAGGGTTGTGTGATGAATTTGTTCTTTAAAAAAAAAACATGTTTATTATTTTAATATCATTTTATTTAAGTTTTTTCTTTAAAATGAAAAAAAAAATTATAATAAAGGTTTATTCTAGTAGAAGCATTGTATTTTTCGAAAATAATTTATGAGATACTAAATAAATGGAAATTGACATCAGATTTTTTCTTTAAAATCTTTGAATATTTTAAAATAAAAAAAAAAATTTTAAATTAAGTCCAACGCATCTTAAAAGGGGGATTTTATTATTTTGTCAAATTGATTCTTCTAAATTATTTTTTATTTTAAAAAAGAAATTAAAATTTAAAAATATACTATTAAAGTAAAATTAAGAAAAATTAAAATAGCCTATTTTTTTTTATTGTGGCTAGGGTTGGAAATGAGCCGAGTCGAGTTGAACTCGACTCACCTCGGTTTGACTCGTTAAGAATTGGTCCAACTCAAATCTTAGTTCGAGTTCGACATGAACTTTTTTTTAAACTCAAACTCGACTCGTTATAAATTCACGAGCAACTCGATTCTACTCGTTAGATTCATCTCATTAAGTTCAACCCGTTTGTTTCATAGATTTAAAAGCCATTTTTTAAAGTCTATTTCTATATATTTGACATTTTAAATTAATATTATTTTAAAAAGAAAGTATTGAAATAAAATAAAAATTATTAGATTGAAATTTAAGTTTACTTAAAAAATTCACTAATTCAAAAATTAATTAATTTATATGATGCTAATTTTATTTGTATAATTATATTTAAAAATATTTTGCTCGCTTGAAAATATAAATTATACATTAAAACCATTAAATTTAAATGAAATATAAGGTTAAAATTTATATTAAATTTTTAAACATACTTGTAAATATAATATAATTCTTCTCATATATAATTGAATTGCTTCGTGAACCTAACGAGTCGAACTATGTGTAGTTCAAGTTCAACTCATTTGATTAACGAACTTAGTTATTCGCTCATATTCAGCTCATTAGGTTTATGAATTAAATTCAATGAATTAATAGTGGAATCGAGATCTGAAGTATTTTCAAGTTGATTCAATTCATTATCAGCCCTAATTGTGACTATTGAAATCATATTAAAATAAATATTTTTAATTTATATCTTTAAAAAAATTACATTCAAAATATTTAATTTTAATAAATGCTTAGTCAATAAATATATTTGTTCATAGTGTATGTAAATTTATCTACAATGTCCACAATAAATAAATAAATAAAAGTAACTTGTTTTAATTTAGGATTAATTATCCTCGTTTTATTGGGTTTAACGATAATATACTGACAGTGTAAAAAAGTTTTACATTGTCAACTAATAAGAATATATTGTCATATCATGTCATATAATTAGTTTAAAATTTTCAGTATAATTTTTCGGGATGCATTGTCATCATTGGTTGAAAGTGCAAAAAAATTTGCATTGCATTATCTATTTTTTCTATTTTATTTTTGATCTGACCTGATCAGGAGGGATCACGGACTGGCCACACTTCGCTGGACGGTTATCTGTTCGCCGGGGTAAGGACGAGGAGGGGGGTGTACCTGCAAAGCACTCCGACGCCCAAGTGAGAAGTTGGACAGAGAGGAAGCAATAGTACAGAAAAAGGGGGCAAGAAGAGTTACCTGACCCTCTTGAAGAAGAGGGTATTTATAGAGAGACCCCAGCGCTGGGCCAACGGTCATTCGAGGTGGGCCGGACGACCAGGCCCAACCCTAATGACTGCTAGGGCTTACGTGGCGTAATGAAGACCAGGACGTGGTCTTCGCCCTAGTTCAACCGCTCCTAGGTCTCCGGAAAGTGGGTTTGACCTGCTCTTTCGGAGGTGGGCGGTTGGCCGATGACGTGTCCCCGCGGAGGGGAGCACGTGGAGAACGTGCGCCGAGCACGTTATTCTCCCCGCGGAGGGGAGCCCGGGTAGTCTTGCTCGTCCGGCGTGAAGGGCGAAAAAAGGGGGCGCGGAGCGGCAGCTTGTGCCCGGCGGCTAGTCCTGCTCGTCCGAAGGGGCGCGTGCCCGGTGCGCCCAGTTCGCTTGTTGGGTCGTATTTGGTATTGGGCCTGCCGAGGTGAGGCCCATACCGGAACAATTTTATTCACAAAACTGATTATATTATTTTAAATTTAAAAAGTTTTGATCTCATATTTTGAATTTATACAATTGTGGTTATTCCTTTATTTTTTTTCATTTAAAATTAATGATGTTTTCACTTTTTAAATGACAAATTACTTGTGAAAATCATTATATATAAATATATTATTGAATTTTATAGATAAAAATATAAACTAAAAAAAATATTTATTAATTTTCTATAGAAAAAATATGAGAGAAACTTAGATTATTTAAATTTAAAATACAGAAACCAGAATTATTTTAATTAAAAATTAAGAGACTTTTGTAAATCAAACAAAATGACCAAAAATTTAATTTAACTTTTAACTTATTTTAAGATTCCCTAAACATATATTAAATACTTTTAAAACAAAAATTAAAAAATTATTTAAGTTTTTAAAATGGGATGTAGAAAGAAAACTTTAAACAATTGTTTGATTTTGCCGTAATTGTAAATTAATTTTAAATAGGGATATAAATGGATATCCATGAGGACGGATATTATGATATTCGTACCCGCCATATTGGATAAATATGATATTCATACATATATTTGTTAAGCGGGTAATCCGCGAGTTTTACGATATTCGCGGATATATAAAGATATCTATGAATAATAATTTTTTATGAAAATTATTTTTTGAAAAAAATATATTTTAACTTCTTTTAAAGACACAAAAAATTATTATCACATACAATTGATACAGTTCGCTCTTAATTTAACAATAAAATTTTATCGCATTAAGTTTTTTCTTATTCACCAAAACATAATTAGATCCAAATATATTATCCATGCATTTTATTTTTAACCAAACAAATAAAAGTTATTGTGATTGTGAATTATGATGAAAAAGCGGACGATAGAGGAGTAAGAAGGTAGATACTGGTTTGACAGAGGAACGACGACACTAGTAAATAAAGAAATATAAAAAGATTAAGTATTTTAGAAGACGAAACAATAAGGTATAATAAATTAACAATATTTAAATGATTTTTATAATTTACTAACGGATATGAATATCCGCGAGTACGGATATCATTAAACTTGTATTCATATCCATTAACAAACGAATATTTAAATATTCATTTATTTTATCGTGTATATTCATTAAACTATCCGTCTCATATACATGACAAAATTGATCCGCGGGTATAAATTTTTTTTGTCATCTCTAATTTTAAATTAATTAATTTTATCTAAAAATAAATTTAAAGGTTTATTTTAATCAAATTGTACTGCTTGTGAAAAAAAGCTACTTTTATTAATTGTTAATTAATTAAGATACAAATTTATTTAAAATCTGTAATTACCAAAATGTACTACTTGTGTCCCTATTTATAAATCTTTTAAATATTTTTCACTCATATCAAAATAAGTTATTAGTACAATTAATAAGTGTATTTTATACATGATTGTTACAAGATATTGTGTGTGTGTGTGTGTGTGTGTGTGTGTGTGTGTGTGTGTGTGTGTGTGTGTGTGTGTGTGTGTGTGTGTGTGTGTGTGTGTGTGTGTGTGTGTGTGTGTGTGTGTGTGTGTGTGTGTGTGTGTGTGTGTGTGTGTGTGTGTGTGTGTGTGTGTGTGTGTGTGTGTGTGTGTGTGTGTGTGTGTGTGTGTGTGTGTGTGTGTGTGTGTGTGTGTGTGTGTGTGTGTGTGTGTGTGTGTGTGTGTGTGTGTGTGTGTGTGTGTGTGTGTGTGTGTGTGTGTGTGTGTGTGTGTGTGTGTGTGTGTGTGTGTGTGTGTGTGTGTGTGTGTGTGTGTGTGTGTGTGTGTGTGTGTGTGTGTGTGTGTGTGTGTGTGTGTGTGTGTGTGTGTGTGTGTGTGTGTGTGTGTGTGTGTGTGTGTGTGTGTGTGTGTGTGTGTGTGTGTGTGTGTGTGTGTGTGTGTGTGTGTGTGTGTGTGTGTGTGTGTGTGTGTGTGTGTGTGTGTGTGTGTGTGTGTGTGTGTGTGTGTGTGTGTGTGTGTGTGTGTGTGTGTGTGTGTGTGTGTGTGTGTGTGTGTGTGTGTGTGTGTGTGTGTGTGTGTGTGTGTGTGTGTGTGTGTGTGTGTGTGTGTGTGTGTGTGTGTGTGTGTGTGTGTGTGTGTGTGTGTGTGTGTGTGTGTGTGTGTGTGTGTGTGTGTGTGTGTGTGTGTGTGTGTGTGTGTGTGTGTGTGTGTGTGTGTGTGTGTGTGTGTGTGTGTGTGTGTGTGTGTGTGTGTGATATTTAATTTTTTATCTTTCAAAATAAATTAGTAGTATTAGTTAGGGCAAGTGAAGTTTAAATTATTATAAATTGTTGATCTAAATTTAAATCTCTAGCAATGATATTTATTTATATTTATATTAATGTAAATAAATTATTGACATTTATAAATTGATCTTACCGAACGATCAGGATCTGAGATGGGCCGAAGACGAACGT